TCAGGTGGAGAAACAGATTTTCACTTTTTAAAATAACTCAGTTTCCGCAAGACCCAGAGTTACCCTCTGAGTTATTTTTACAGGCTCGGAATTTCTTCTTTCTTTAGTCCGGAATGGAGATGTAGAAAGGCATCCGTTGAAGATGTCTGAGTTTGCGCTCTGGGCGACGTTCTCTGGCTCATTTGGGTGTGAAGGCGACCTCAGAGAGGCTCGGCCGTCAGTTTTCTATGATCTAAGCTTCCATTCCGCGTCCATGGGATGACTCGTCTCCAAACTCCAGTTAACTTCTTGGGAGTCCAGAATACTTAGTTGAAGCTGTTTACAAAATGCAAAGCATCTGGGTGGTCGAGGCGGAGGCTCTGTATTGTTATTGTTATTGTTATTATTATTTTTCCTTTCCCCAAATCGCTTACAAATGAGCTGGGGAAATAATGCCGATCAAAACCTAAGCTCTTAAAGCTGACCTGCTTGCTCCGGACTGTAGGGACTCTTGCTTCGTCCTTCTGTTTGCGTTTCTCTCGTTTATGCCATTCTAATGCTCTGTGCCCCTCCCCTCCCCCACATCTCCAGCTCCCTAGATGCTTCTCAAACTCCCTCAAACCGGAGTCCTCCCCCGTTTTCCGGTGTCCTAGTCTTATTTGAAGGTGTGGTCGTTTGGCTGAGTGGGCACTGGGTGCGTGGGTAGGAGGCAGCTTTCCTTGCTGTTTCATTGAAATTCGGCGTGGGTGGGTGGCTGGTGTCTTTGCACAATTCCTTTCGCACACGCAAAAACAGTTGAAAAGCTAGAGACAGAGGAGCGAAGAGTTCCACCTCTTCCAAGTGCCGCCAGCAAAGGAAAGGACATGGGTCCGTTGTGGTGGTGGCGGTGGTGTGGGGAAGGGGGTTGAAATAAAGGAATAAAACTCAACTTCGCTGGCAACTTCAATAAATCTGGTAACTGAAGACAAAAAATAGATTCCGAGGGCCGGTCTAGTCCGGATGAAACGCTAGGGCTCCTTCCCATGCCGGAGTCTGGCGCTGGAAGCCTGCCACTGGCGTCTTGCCACGCGAGTGCCCCCAGACAGCAACACACCCACTGGAGACGCACGTGAACAAAGCTCTCGCCCCGGGAGCCGCCGCCTGCGGTTTCCTAGCCGAATCCAGCCTCTCCTGGGAGTGCAGGGCGCACACAGGGTTAAGTTAGTTCCTCCCTCCTACGGAAGGGGAGGGGGAAAGCAGCCTAGTGTCTCGGGCTGGGTACCTTGTAGTTAGTTGTACGTTCTAAACCTGTCGCCGTCACTTGCGAGTTTGGCATCTTTCATTGTCACGGCGGAGGAACAAGCGCTCAGAGATAACATCAGTGGCCGCGATCTCCCCGCCAAGGCGCCGAGCTGCCACCGCGCGGGTGCGTCTCTCGCCCTCGGTCCCGAGCGTCAAGCAGCGGTGAGGCAACAGCTCCGCGCCGGCCGCCGTGTCCACCCAGCCCCGGAACCAGGTTGGCAGTTCTCAACGATGGGCAGGAGGGACCTTGGCGGCGACCCCTAAAACAATACCATGCCCCCGGAGCCCCGCTGCTGCCGCGCCAGCTTCTTCCCTTTTCATCTCCCCGACCCTGTAGGATTCGGATGAGCCCACAGCTAGGAGACTCGGCCACCAGGTAAGGGGGCTGCGGTTCCAGGTGGAGTTTCCATAAACCGCCGGGGCTGCCACGACGCGGGCACCACGCGGTCACTTTAGGAGGGAGATTTTTTTTTTTTTTTTTAAACCAGCCGGGGGTGGTCAGCGGGTGGGTGGGATATTTCAGTCTTAATCTTTCATCCAGGGAGAAAATAGGTTGCTTAACTCTCCGCCGACTTTTGGGAGGTCTATTTTCAGGTGGAATCTACCTCCTCCCAGGAGTTTTGTAACTGATCTGAGTCAAAACGCAAATTTGCTAGCCTGCTGGGAGCATCATTCTAAACTGGGGTTTCTAGAGCCACTAAATTTGCCGGAATCCAGCCTCTCACGTCCCCAGAATGAATCTGTTAACTTCTAGTTGTAACCCCCCATCCCGCACCCCTCCCTGGCGCCCGCTCCATCTGCTGTTATGTCACCAGCCTTATTATCAAGAGCTGGCGCCTAAAGCCCCCAGCACGCCCCCTGCCCGCAATCCGGGATTCTTAGTGGCTAAGAAGATGCGGGGAGTAGGGGGTGCTAGTGCCTTTTTCTTCGAGTTGGGGAGCTGGTTACTTTTCCCAAAGCCAAGTTTTTCTCCAGCTCTGCTGGTCTTCAGTGGCTGGGCACTGAGCAAGGGCCAGTGCCTCCTCTACGCACCAGCGTGGGCAGTGTGTGTGTGTGTGTGGGGGGGGGCGCTGGGAAGGTGCTGTAGCATACCCGACTGAACCCGAATGCGTTCTCTGCGCCGAGTGCTAGGGACTCCGGGAAGGGGCGGATAACGCCCCCAGGCGCTCAGTGCTGGGTAAAGGCGACGCTGAGGAGGGCAGAATAGCCTCACCAGCTACCATCTGGTCCCCGCGAGGGCTCGGACCCGGCTGGAAAGATCCCTCCGCGGTGCTGGCCCTAGCTTTCACCACTCGAGCGGTCACTTCTTTTTTTGTAATCGGGAGTAAGATCTAGGTTGCCAGTTGAAGTCGGGGCACTAACCAGGGAAAAGAAGTATCAGGGAAGTGGGCGACTAGGGCGGGCTGGATCCACACTTGACGCCCAGGAAACTCCTGGGGCCCGTGGGTCTCCGGAACGGCGGCAGCTGCTGATGGAGGCGGAGGCCACTGCTGGTGTGGTCGCTGGCGCTTTGCTCCTGGTGCCTCCTAGCAAGATGGCACTCACTGTCTGTCCTAGTCCAATTAACACCCCTTAGCCATGCCCCCTCCTCCTCCGGATATTGATCACACACTGAGTTTGGGGAGAAAAACGGCTGTGTATAAGTCAGTTAAAGGATTTTCCTAGCTACCTTTGCATAACGCAACAAGAGCAGTTACTCGCGAGCACGAACCTAGGTCGGCTGTGCGTTTTTACCAGCGTACGTCCCGGGCGTGCGTCTGGGTGGATCCGTGCGTGGCTTGTGCTTGGAAGCAAATCGGGCGTTTTTCCAAGTCGTTTTAACACAGTTTAGGCGCTCCAATTCTTGAAGGCGATAGACCCAACAGGGATGCTAAGGAAATAAAAACAATTGAGAAAGTGGTGCCAAGTGACTCAGGCTGTGAACTGAGGACGGGGAAATCATCCGGAGCCGTTCGTGGCCACCGCCTCTGCCCAACTCTCCCGCGGAGCTAGCGGAGCGGCTCCATGGGGAGTTGGTCCCGAGCCAGTGTCAAGCTCGCGGGTGCTTCTGGCCTGGCCCCACCGACGGCGCGTCTGAGCGCAGCCCAGCGGTTGGCCCGAGCTCGCTCTCCCTCTTCTGTTCAGATTCGGTCTCTCTACAGACTTGTTAAAACATGACAGCAACTTACTGGAGGCAGGAGCAATGGCAATGAAAAAAAGGAGGATACCAGAACCCCTTTTCCCCCAAGACAGAAATGCGCACCTAGTTTTCTTATATTACTCTTTAACCTTTACAAAGAGATTGCGAGTGGAAACATTGCCTGTTTACAAATCAGGCTTCTTTAGCTGTCAAGCCTGTTTCCTAAGTCTTTGAGGCTGAATTTGTCTGTCCCTTGTAATCTACGGGCAACGTGAACAACGCTCTTTCCAGTGGCCAGAGTGAAAGAAGAAAATGGGGTGATTAAAATAAACATAATGAATTTTGGATTATATTCCCAATTAAAGTTATTTTAGAAAATCAGGGATCAGGGAACGATTGATGAGGTGGGGGGCAAATCACCAAGACTGCTTGCATTTGACATAACGCCATCTTGGTTGAGAGATTTGTAATATTTTTTTTACCCTCTAATCTCACGTTTCCAACATTTCTCAGTGTCTAAGTAATAGACCCTCTGGCTTGGAAGTACTGCACCGAGCAGGCAGGGAGAAATTGACTTTCAGCGTTCCAACGGTGGCATTGTCCCTAACAGTTGGGGTGCGGGGGCGTTGGTGCAGGGTTGAGGGAGAGGAGGAGGCGTGCACGGTCACTGTGGCATCCCTGGTGTTAGCCCGGTGCTCTGCAACTCTCTTCAGGGAGGACAGGGTTAAGAGCTTAGTCTGACTTTGCCTCTTGGAAAGCTTTGGGTTGCGGCCGCGCCTCCCAAGCATTCTTTAAACCAGAAATGTGGGAGGGACAACGAGGGGGAGGGAGTACTAGAGGGAGGGAGAGAAAGACGGCCAGAGGAGGGGAGCGCGCCAGAGCGCCGGGGACCAGGGAGAGGGGGAGTGCAGGAGCGGCAGAGGCGATCCCGCGAATTCATTACTGTAAACATCTCCCGGGGGTGTCAGGAGGGGTGGGGGTGGGGGCCGCGGCGCCTACATAGCCCGGCAGCGTCCGATCCAGGCAGCAGTGAGGTCGGAGCAGCCTCCAGCCCCACGCGGGACCGGCGCAGCACTCGGAGCGAGCCCCGCGCAGCGCGCCTCGCCGGGTTCCGCGCGGTCGGCACCCGGGGGTCGGAGGCGCGCCCGCCCGGCTCTCCAGAAGCCTCCTCCCCCTCCGGGTCCTCCGTCTCCGAGGAGCCCCGGCATTACTGGGCTGCTAATCGCCGCCTTCCCCACTCGCCCTCTTTCTTTCGGGACTCGTTGGCTTGGCTGAGGCGGAGAGGGGGAGGCAGAGGAGCCCAGGAGGCGGGGGCCGCGGCGGCCTGAGCCGAGAGAAAGTGGCATGCCCGAGCCCTGGAGGCGGAGGTGGCGGAGGACGGGGGAAGACGATGCCGCGGCTCGGTAGGGGAGAAAGGCGAGAGCGAGCGAGGCGAGCGGGGCGCCCGGGCGCCAGTCGGCTGCGGGGAGGCTCGCGCCGCTCTTTGAGGCTCCGGCCTCCGCATCCCCGCGCCCCGACGCTGCGAGCGACAGGGCCGGGCTCTGGCAGCCGCCACCGTCGCCGCCGCCGCTACCCGGAGGACAGAGCAAAAGTTTGGATCTGGGGGAGGACACGGTGCTGAGCGGAATTACCACCAGGGCTAGAAGGATACCTCGAGAACCTTCGCAGGTAACGGGCATCCTCAACCCCCTCTCTCTCTCTCTCCACGTCCCTACGCTGGGCTCCTGCTCCCTCCCAGCGCCTTTCCTGACGCTCACCAGATCTGGCTGAAAGTAAGTACAGGCAAAGTTCAGGATCCTGAGGATGGGCACCTTGCACTGGGAGATCTATAGTCACGTTAGAGGGACCCTTGGCGCTTCTCAGCGCCCGGTGGGCAGCTGTGCAGCGAGACGAATCTCTCCTGGGAATGGAGGAGGACCCTGGGCCCCAGCTGGTGCCGGATCTCGCAGGTCGTTGAGAATTTAGAATGTGGATTCAGAGGCTTTTAGTATTCTTCAGTCCAGGGAAATGATGGATGGATTTCACTCACTCCCACCCTGACCCTTTCACTCTCGTTTAACATATTTTAAAAACGATATGGATATGAACCCATTGGCATTCGCCTACCGCGTTTAGCTGGTGCAGGAAAGCAAGGGGAGGGGGCGGTGTGTGTGTGTGTGTGTGTGTGTGTGTGTGTGTGTGTGTGAACATTTCAAGGAAAGGGGGAAAATTATCTTTCCCCCTTTTGAGATGCCCAGGGCCCTCCCTCCTTCCATTCACCTTCTAGCATCATAAAATAGGAACTTTGGAAGTCACATTTTGATCGAAGGGCAAGATGAAACACTGGCCATTGGTGACGTGAATTTGCAATGCGTGTGTGTTGGGGGAAGAGGGGGGCGCAGTGAATGGTATTGCAGAGAGGTTTTCCTTGGTGGCCTGATGCATTCGAGTGCTGGAGAGGTGGGGGGTTGAGTGGTCGCAGTCGCCTGTGTGCACTGAGGAGGGGGCCCTCCAAGAGAAGACGCTCATGTTTCCCCGAACAGCAACCTTACTTAGGCTAAGAAGATAGCTTCTGCCGTTCACTCTGGGAGCGAAAAGATTCAGCTCCAGCTCCTCAATGTACCCTCTCCCCCAGTTTTTACTTTCTAAGCGGCTCCAGGTTTGCTGCTGCTCTCATTTTTATTAGGATCATTATTAATTCACCTGGAAACTCATCATGCCTTCTCTTGTAAGTGGAAATCAGTCTCCAAGAGCTTTTGATTAATTTCAGTGGAGGGACTCTCTTGTAAAGCTTACAGTAAGCTAATCAAGTGCAAGGCACAAATCCGTGTAAATGCTCGCCCAGGAGTGCAAGGTGCTGATTAGATTTCTTTACATGCTGCATTTGCTATGCAAAGCCTCTCCTAAATGGGATCTATTGCACCTCACTCAGCTGGGAGGCTCTTTCATCACTCGGGGTTCCATGGAGCTTTGGGGCATGTCCACTGGCTCCGGGGCTTATGGCTACATTTATTACGTCTAATTTCTCCCAGCCAAAAGCTAATGGGAAGGCTAGCTTCCATATGGGTAAGGTACTGTCTGTGGACTTAAGAAGTACACCTTATTAAATCTCCAGTGAAAGCATCCCCCTAATATTTTGGGGTAAATAGAATGCAGCTTGGCATTTGTCCAGGGGTATATATGGTGGTTGCAGTATGAATGTAAAATTTTAGTTCAGTATCTAAATGTTAGAACTGGACTTTATTTTTTTTTTAATCACTAAGCAACATGAGTCAGATCCATAAGCTCCACAGGCCACCATATTAGAAGAGAATGAATCCTTGGGTAATGCACACACTATAAAAAGTTGCTTATTTCCCCACAATGCTACTGCTCCCCAGAATACAACTGTTCTTCCTCCCCTACTCAGAAGCCCCGAGCAGGATAGAATTAAACCATTTAAGGATTTCTAATAATCAAGGTTGACAGTGCAACACCATACTGTCATGTTGATTTGCTACTATCTATGACTGGAGGAGGTTGGAGAAGAAATTTCAAACATGATTCCATGTCTCTGCCAGTGGGTACAAGACATTGTATAAAAGAATTGGGCTAGCTGTACTGTAGCAGAACCTATTACGACAAACCGAGCTTGCATGGAAAGAATGCTGGGTTGTTCTTTTTTTCTTTTAATACCTTTCTTAACACCTCAGTAGTTTCATTGCAGTTTTAGAAATTTCAGGGGCTGCTTTTGACAGAAAAACTGAGATTCCCAAGTGACACCGTGTTAGGTGCCTTGGAGTTCCCAAGATAGCCCTGGCTTTTCCTGTATGCTAGGTTTCAGATGATGTGATCTTATCTGAGTTTGACTTTGACCGGCTGGATCTAATTGGAAGCTCCTCTGATGCCTGTTACATTTATATTCTGGTCAGCTGGAGAGTTTGATTTAGGATTTAGACATAGCTCCCTAAAGCAACCTTATATCTTTCCAGTTTGAAATTGTGGTTTCAAGAAAGGCTCAAGTATGTGCAAGACCAGAAACCTTAAACTGTAGAGACTCTGCGTGAACATGGGTCTAGTTTGAGCCTTCAGCTTTGTATTCTACAAGGAAGAATTGCTGCTTCTAAGATCAGCGGTGTCTGAAGTTAAAAAACAGCAACGATGCCTGTGGCTCTTGGTTTTGCTGTTTAGCAGATTCCAAAAAGGTCAAGGTGATGTCCTTTTATTTCCGTTCAGGTCAGACCTTCCTAGATAATCATCTTTTGGTGTCTACACTTTAATTTTAATTCAAGTTCATTTTTCACTAGATTACTTTAATAACTTTGTGGTTACTGCCACAGTGATTCAAATTCAGTCCATTAGTGACCTCTGTCTGCGAGAAGTGAATACTCATTGTTTTTCTTTCTTCTCATCAGAGTCTACAGATTATGTGGGGGGAACCGGAGAGGGAAGAAAACTAGCAGCTCTGGAGTTCTTTCCAGATATTTAGATGTTCGAACTTGATTTTTCTAATACAGAGCTCAGTGCAAGTAATGATATTTAACAACAGTAATGAAAATGTTACGAGCTAATAGGCTAGTAGATGATTCTTCCATAGAGCATCGACAATATGATCACCATAAATAAAACACTACTGCTATCCACTGCCAATAAAAGAGTTGTACGGTGAGGTAGACTAATGTTTGGAGACTCACAAAGCTGCTAGATGTCAGTGAAATTTTATTGCCCCTAAGTGCTTACATAACAAGGGAAACTTGATTCAAGCCCAGAACATGTATGTGGTAACTAGACTACAGAGTGGCAGTGTGTGTATGTCTTTAAATTCAGCTGTGAACTTATGGTACAGATCAAGGGCGAGGTGGGGTGTGAGAAGGTGTCTATAAACAGATGGTCTTTTAAGGAGACTTTAAAACTCTGATTCCAAATCCAGCTTTGTCTTCTCAGCGTCTTCAAGTCGAAATTTCAGTTTGAGTTGATTATTCTAAATGGTCCTGGACGACAAAGTTTGCTGAATTTCTTAGGTGGGTGGATACCATTATCAGACATTTTCCAGATGGTTTTTGATGTAGTAGTATTTGGGGATATGGAATTTTTAGGAGGTTTTCTTTCTGTTCCCTTGGGCAGGTTTTGTGCAAAAGACATTTTTAAAGACCAATTATTATTATTGTTATTAAAGTCAAATAGCCATTATAATATCCCAGCCAACTTTATTTTTCTCCACCCTCCAAATTGCTTTGCTTTTTAAAAATTATTATTATTATTTTTTTCTAAAAACTACATGTTGGTATTTGAAGTAAGACTATTGCTTTCTTTTTGTTTTTTGTTTTTTTGTTCTTGTTTTTTACTTTCCTTCAGCAATGTGCCCTCCAATTAAATATCTGTTTATATTAAAACATGCACACTCACATACATATACATCAAGAACCATTTTAAGACAGAGATTCTTTTCAAGGTTTTAAAATATGTTCTTTTTTAAAGCACTATGACACAAATATTGTAATAAAAATATCCTGTGTGCCGATGAATACAGAGACTTATTTCAGTGGCATGGAACAGTAAAACACTGTATTAGCAAAATAATCAGTGGCATTTTCAGTACATGGTCAAAATCTGTTAGAACCTTCATGGTTTTTTTTCTTCCCTTGGCGAATTTCGCATCTACTGGTCTTTTTGGTTTTCTTTGATTTCTTCTACTGTGGCTCTTTGAAGTGATTCAAAATTAAACAGTAGCTACTTCTTTAGGGAAATTCATCATGTTATGCTCAGGGTTCCAGAAGAGTTAATGATGCAGAAAAAATCCTGTAAAACATCTTTCTAAAAGAAGGCCTTCTCTTGCAAGCTTCCCACTTACTGGCCTCCTGGACCATTTGCAGTGAATTGGAACTCCGTTATTTATTTATTTTTCAAATACCACCTCTAACTTAATTTAATGTGGGATGTGTTTCTGCAGAAGCATGGCGCACCATGTGTCCTGAGTCGCCTGAACAAAGCAGTGTCATTTTTACAGATCTGTAATAAGGGAAGGTCAAAGAAAATATCCTTGTGTAATTTGGGAAGTCAAAAGGCCACATTCATGATTCTCAAACACTGGTCAGTTATTCTGCGGATGGTAAGGGCTCACATGTTCTGGCTGGTTAATGGTTTAAGACCTGAGCCGTGTTTCGAAGCATTCGCAAAATAAATACTATCTGGTGTTCTTAGCCATTAGGTGCTCGTTAGAACTGAGCTGTTTCTCACTTTCTTCCTTGGTCGCTTTTAAGAGAATGTGCAAGAAACGTGGCAAAAGGTCCCCTTTCCCCTCAGGTCACAGGTCATGCGTTATGTTTCAGTTCTCTTTATTTGAGCTTTCAAGTCACAGATAAAAGCATCTTCTATCTGAACCTTTTAAGAACCTTAGGGCTTTTGGATTTAAACCCACCGAAAGCTGTCAGGTACCAAAGTTTAGAGATGCTGTTAGGACTCGGAACACTGAAACCTGTTTCAACAGTGGCTCCTAAAATTGGTTCACACATTTATTGCCCATTGAAGTCAACAGAGGTCATGTGGCTGAATGGAAAACATTAGACTCATATCAGTCCCGAAATAGGTCCACGTGTGGGTGTCACTCTGAGCCCCAGCTGCCTGGGGGCATCACTTTCATGAAATCCAATGTCAAAATAGCCTCTGTGAGAGTTTTCTCTCCCACTTTGCTCCAGAGTTTGGACTCTATT